GAGATCGGGAGAATTCCCAGGAAGCGTCACATTGACAATCCCGGCTTTCGCTCTTTCTGCCTGCAAAGTCTTGATTTTAATGAACGGGAGCTCCATCTTCGACTACAAGAGGCTCCCTCCCATCCTTCTTCGTCCATGCTACAGCTTCGGTCAGAGGCCCTTCCAGAATCTGAGCTAAATAGACTTTAGCATTAATCGTTTGAGCGGCAATTCTTTTGCCACCTTCTTGATGAGCCGGTTTCAGAGCGAAACGGACCAGTGGGAACTTGTGGCCATGTACAATCGCTCCCCAGACATGGAGCATCTTGCCCTTCTTTTTCTTGGGGCTTAGACACTTTGCATTGTATGCTTCATTCGGCAAACGCTAACAGGACTCTTTGGCGCGATCATCGCCCAATTCAAAGGCGGCCTCGTCAGTGAATATAACTCGAGTCCAGTCCTGATTCTCATTTGCTGTAGCCCAGGCGAGTCTATCCATAAAGCTTTTAGGGGATAAGAGGGGCTTGCAGCGGCGGCGACCTCGAAAGTAGCCATGCTTATCGAGAATGCAACGGACTGTGGATGCGCTGACCTTCATATAGTCTGCTATTTGATCTGCAGTTTGCTTCGGGGAGGCTCTCACGTGGCGTATCATACGCTCCTCAGCCTGAGCGCTTAGAATATGCTCATTTCCCTGATTGTATGTAGGTCTTACAGTGCCTGTACGCTGTCGATGCTCAATAATGCCTTGAACAGTTGACTTTGAACAGCCAAACTCATCGGCGACGGCTTTCATTGACATCCCAGATTGATATTTTCCGTACATTTCACCCTTCTTGGTAGGGCTTACAAGCACATGTGACCGAGGACTCATTATAGGCGTCCTTACTACCTCTGAGTGATCATACAACAGAATATATGTATACTGAGAATATAGGTTTTTACTTGTCTCGCAACCCGAAAAGCGGGATTGCGGAAGCTAAATTTCCGCGCCGTACGAAAGTCGATGGCCCGGGCGAGTACGTTGTGGGGTGCCAAAACGGACACCCTAGATAAAAAGTATGATACCCTATCTTCGGTCTGTTTTTTGCCCGGTCCACTTTTTGTGTTCTAAAAAACGGGGACGGCTTCATTGCTTTCACTGAGCACTGAGACCATTCTATCAACTCTTATTTTACGAACTTACCGGGGACCATTCCACACTGCAAAATGAATTCACAGAGACCATTTTCTTGGGGACCATCAACATGATACCATCATTTCACGGCTCTAGCTAAATGTCTCACTTAGTCAAAGCGCTATTGTTTCTTGCCAGTGTTGAGTGCCAACGATTTGCCTTAGCCGCGCTAAATGGACTTGAAATCTTTTTGATCTTTTTGATCAAAAATTACAAGTCCAAATATATTCGCAACTTGTATTTTTAGGCAACGCGGCAAACACCGGAATTCTGGATACTACACAGCTGTTATGTAATACTCACCTGTCTTGCTGACTGCCAAAGAACACCAACTAATTCTAACTGAGAAGGGTAGCTATTCCTAAGTCGAAGTTGGAGGTAGTGATGGTAATTCTTGATCTAATTTGCGTGTTTCATAAGTCTAGTGGCAAATACATTCACAACCAGAAAGGCCGGTTTATATAATATTTTTGGGTACAAGGCAAAGGCATTTGCCACCATATTTCTGAGTCAAACCGAGTCATTCACTAAGCTGGATCGATTGTCGGCCATGTCTTGATCAAGGTGTTGATCAATTGTTGGTCGAGTAGTTGATCAAACATTATGATTGAATTGTAGGCGAGATACTGTAGGGTAAAGGCGAGAGTAGGTCGAAAAGTGTAAAGGCGCGTCTTTGGCGCGGAAGCGCAGGTTCCCAACATATTGGCTTTAGGAGATGTAGTGACTATAAAGTGTCAACCTGTAAGCAAAACTAAATAGTCAAAGAGTCAGCATCAACGACAATGCACGCCTTGGATAAATGAACATATGGCGAGCACGTACTGTGTAAAAGTATTCACATAATCCCCGTCAAACAATCCTTTTACAGACCATGTCGCGGGCAAGTGGTCTAATCTACGTTAATAGTTAGCACCGCCGTTGTAGTGAACTTAGCACAAACGATGTACTCTTATGACTTAAGTCGATAATTGAATACCGTGGGTGAAAGACAAGGGTAGCTAATCCTTGAGAAGTCTTGCACTCAAGGTAGCTTGGGAATTAAAGGTAAATCAGAGGGTGAGATAAAAGTCATAAGAGGCTATTACAAGAAGGTAAGGAGAGTGGCTATATATAATTATCTGCTAGAGATGAAGCAGCTACGCATCTCCTAGGGAGGAGCGTAGTACGATTGAGTCCCAAGGGATTGGTAAGGCGTGTTAGTCCCGTGGGAGTCGGAAGGCATTTGAGTCCCAAGGGAGTGGGATGGTGTGGCAGTCCCATGGGAACGAGAGCTGTGCGAGTCCCAAGGGAGCGAGAGCTATGTGATCCCCAAGGGAGCGAGAGCTGTGTGATTCCCAAGGGAGTGCGAGCGTTGGGAGTCCCAAGGGAGCGCGCGTGCGGGCGGAGGCACCTGGTGGATGACGTAAGTGCGCATGATGTCGGATTTATCTGAGTTCGGTCTAGCCTGGGACGCACCGGACAAACTACAAAATGTGTAGTTAGTCTGGGGTCAAAAGTCACTCCGTTGGCTGAGCGATCAAAATGCATCGATCTCGCCGCGCGGTCCCCTAGGGCGCCCTAGGGAAACTTTTTGTGTTTGGCAAAATCGAGTTTCGACAAATTCTCGTGCATAGATCGGATGGTAAATGAAAGTCGAGAATATAATTGTAGCCTGCACTTCGTAGCAAAACATGAACAGAGGCTACTGAGTTTTAGGACCACTTTGGAAAATGCTCTCCTAGGGTCTCTTAGGGGAGTTCAGCATGAAATCGAACACTTTATATCGCTCAGCCAGGAAACGCGTTTTGGTATCAGACTAGCTACGCGTTTATGAGTCTTCAGCTCATAGTCCCCGCTCACGGGGGCCGCGTACTCAGTGTGATTTTATCAGGCTAAGTTCGGTCGGACGATAACTCAGATGACGCGGAGCCGAGAATGATTACCTAATCGTAATGAGTGAGAAACGGACTAAGGTTCAGGCTATCGTTAGAGATCTGTGAGCAGAAGTAGCTAGTTGAAGAGATTATCCTATTTTATACGGTCCTCTCTAACTATTACTATACTAGATTTCTACAATTACCCTCCCCTCGAGGAAGACTGCGCCCTCGTAGTCACTTTAGAGTCCGATCTTGTGGAGTATATACCTCTTCCTACCGAGCATGAGCTTCTTCTCGATGCTCTCCGCGGCCAAGTGCCACATGCATTGACTATAGAAGCCAGCATGTCCCTTGAAACGGAAGTGGCTGAGTACCTTCTTCATGGAAACACTGCCTCTCTTCTCCTTCTTCCAGAATGCCTAGATCGCCATCTTGACACCGGAGTATCGTTCTTCCAGGTCCTCAACAGTGAGTAAGGCTTTGATACCGTGTCGTTCAATGCTAGACCACGAAAAGGTATGAGTGATGGGACTGGAATGCGCGCGGTTTGTAGAATCTTACAGGAACTTCACATCACCTCGGCTCCAGTAGTACCTTTGGATATCGGCAACGTTGAGGACGTCGTCCTCGTCGTCGGAAGAATCGTCGTAGACGGCGAGAGGGGGATCCTCGCTGCTGCAAAAGGGAAAGGCGGGTGCTGTGAAGATCCGCGTTGTCGAGGATGATGTTCGTGTTGGATGTAGCTAAGGATGCATCGGAAGGTTGATCGTTCCCGTTGTCGAATCGGCATTTGCGGTGAAGGTCGACCGGGTTCATGGTCAGAGGAGCAGGAGCGTGTCGGGCCTGAAGGCGAAGGCGGTAGGATCAGACAGAGAACGGAAAGATGTAGACGAAGCAGCGAACATACGTTGAGCCGCTCGGCAGCTTGAGCATCTTCGAGCATCCGCAAAAGGAGTGTGATGTCCGAGTCAGACAAGGGAAGAGCGACGGGAGGAGAGACGAGAGGTGCAATAGGAGCACACCAAGCGTCAGAGAGAAGGACGCTGTCGAGGTTCTGACAGAGTAACGGATTTCACAATCCAGTTTCGGAAAGGAGTAGAATGGGAAACTCACGCCGGCAGCCAATTCATCTTGGTACCAAGACACGAAACCGGGAGAGTGGATGAAGTTGTCGGCGACGGGACTGAGAGGTGACGAGGCGGGTTCCACTACGGCCAAGTTGCTGCCGGAGCCACTTTGCACGTTGTTCGAAAAAACGGATTGACAGAGGTTCCCTCCCTGGACCTGCCAGTGAAGAGTGATGAGACCGAGAAAGGGAGAAAACAAACGGAACAGAAACTCATACCATCAAGGTCGACCAAGTCCCAGAAGCTGCTGTCCAGCATATAACCAGGCCGGGAAGGGCTGTACTCGGCAGGGAGGCCCTGCACAACAACAGCATCTTGAGAGTTACCTTCTGACCCAGGGGCGTGACGGGTGTGGGAGGCAGCGAGGACTCGGACATGGCGTTGGATCTATGTAGCAGTGTAGCTTTTAAAAGGATTCGGGTGGTGGTGAAGGTAAAAGGTTGGAGGGAAGAGGATGAGGGCCAAAAGAGGTAGCTACTCACAACTCGCATGATCCCTTGCTGTTGTATATATATCTGTCCGAAGACAATAGCAGTTGTTGACGAGCTGGGAGACAAGACAGGCGAGGCGGAAACGATAGGGCGGTACAGGTGGGCCGAGCAAAACGATGACAAACAGAAATGCTATTTGTAATGAGCCGGACTCATTCTTACCTCTTCGGCTGTTATATAAATACTAGTCTGACTGTGGTTCAACCTGTCAGTTGTTATATATGTAGTTGGGAGCAATGGGAGCTATACATCTTTGGGCTTCTTCCTTCGATAGCACTGACTATGACGTGGACTTTAGATTACTCGCTTGTCTCCATTCTCTGGAAGCATTCACCTTTGTAACGACAAACTAAGGGCTTCCAACAACGATTCCTCTTTGGCCAAGTGGTAAGGCGTTCCACTCGTATTAGACATGGAAAGATCACTCGTTCGATTCGGGTAAGAGGAGTTTCTTTTTGAGTTTTTTGTCAAGAATATTTTCTTCGATTTTTTGCAATTTTCGACCTTTTCGCCAATTTTGGCTATTTCTTCAAATTTTGCACATTTCTGTGGAACTTGTGTTTGCGTTTCTGCAGTTTTCTGGGGGTTTAAAGCGATTTTCACCATTTCTTGGCGTGATGTCGCGTGACAATGCGATCTTACATGGCAGATGGGTCCAGGCGGAGGGGAGGTACGGCTACTAAATATTGGATCCGTAGATTACTCGGATGCGACCTTTTGTCCACTTGGTCTCGTGCTCGCTGTAGTAACACGTTTTATTCTAGTATAGTATGACATGACATTTGTAATGGCCTTGACTCTCTGCCATTACTGACTTCACCTTTCATCTATAAGTATGTTGTACTTATATAGTTTAGTTTAGGTTCCTACTTCGGAACAGGAAGGATCAAAACATTTTGCTATGTTGGACAAGATAAGTCAAAAGCCAATATTATCCTAGTCGGGTGGAATATAGTTAACTGCTTGCGTTGAAACCATATCCGTCAGTACTCGTGATATCAGATGTTTTGCTATTTGCGGAACATATGTGCACAGAGTGACAAAGATGTGCACGAGTGTGCACAATAAGGATTGCTAAGCGGATAGACACAGGCTTACATAAATGTGCACAGATATACACAGATGTGCACAAAGATGCACAAGCGTGCACAAGTTGTCTCCTAGGTCAGGCGACCTTAGGGTTTTACCTTGAAGACCCTTGGGAAAGTCGCCCTGAATCTCAGTGGCGACACAGCTATCTATACGTATATATTTCGTTGTACTATGCCACCATGATTATTTGATTGACGATTGATCTCACTAAACAACCACCGAGCAATCGTCCTTACTCCTTTCCCTTCTACTTAGTAATCTAGTTAGACTCGCTATACTTGGTGGTCTTGCTCATTACATATAGTATTCCTTTACCTACTCTGATACTTACATCACGAAAGCATAAGGCTTTTGACTTGACCCCACCAAAGATCTTGCACGATAACATATGATAAGTAATATTCTATATTATCTATCTACATTATTATTACTATACTAGCACTCTTACAATATTACCCTCATTCATGCTTCATACCAAGCTGTATTTTCCTACCTCTCGTACTTCATCTTCTCCACGACATCAACAACAAGTCGCCACCAGCAACCTCTTCTCTCGACATCGTGTTCTCGCCACCGCCTCGCTCGACTTCATTCTACTTACCAACAGCACTCGTCTACCTTTCACGTGAACCTACTTCACGCGAACTTGACCTTCTCACGCTAACGCGACACCTGCTGCTCTAGAGAGCTGTACCATATGTACGCCTTGGATCACTATCTGCCGACGACATCATGGCGATTCACGCCACGTTACACAGCACCTACTCACCCCGCTATATATATATATATATTTCTATATCACGGCACGGATCCGACAGCAGCTCGTCCAGAAGATGCGGTGTAGCGACGGGCAAACCTTGTGAGTGAGTCTGTCTGTCCAGTTTCTGCCTAGTCTGATGTGCGAAGGACAGGGACTGCTGGTGGTGAAGTGGGTCTCCCGCTTCACTAGGCTGGGCAAAGTGGTGTATTTACAAAGACAAGCGAAGTAAAGTACAACACATTTTTTCTACCGAATGGTCCTCATTCAGACCGTCACCACCGCCTGTAGTAATTGTAGAGAACCATAGCTTAGTTGTAGTAATGCCTATCAATAACATTACTGCCAACTACTTGTTCTCATCAGCCGTTCCTTCTGATGCCATCACATCAGTCATCATCATCAACTTTGCCATCAATGCTATTTCAATATTATGTAGAGCTGCAGCTTTGCAGCAGCGCAGATTCGCACTTCCGCGACTTCGCAGATTTGCAGCTTCGTAACTTCGCAGCTTTGCGGCTTCGCGGCTACGCTTGGGAGACTTCGTGTTCTCAGTCTCCCGAGAGAGTCTACCCAGTTTGAACAACTATATATAGCTGGGCACTTTGCCTCTTATTGTAATAGCTCTCATGCTCTATGAATCACCGTTTGATTACCTCTTAATTCCGAAGCTACCTTGAGTGCAAGACTTTCTCAGGATTAGCTACCCTTCGTCTACCACTTCCGGTAAGTAGTTGTCCAGTCTTACGTAATAAGTAGTTATATAACTTTTGCTAGGGATCCTCATACAACGGCGGTACGGTATAACGTATATTACGTAATACAAGTACTTGCCCGCGACAGTAATCGACCGTAGAAAGCTAGTCTACGGTACATGACCTATATCAATGGTTATCTCTCTTACTACCTTGAACACTTAGCTCCTAATAGACCACTACTCCCGGCTACCCTTCTTCACTTAGCATTTTATGATCAACAACTATTCTGGAAGTTAGCGGACACTCTAAATTCACCGACCGCCGAACTTAGGCTGCCCAGCAAGCCATCCCCGCACATGCTCAGTCATCAATACGTCTCAGGTGAATTATCCCTTGGGATAAATCACACTCTTTCTCCCTTGGGATAATCACACTCTTTCTCCCTTGAGACAAATCACATGTTATATCCCATGGCATAAAATCATGCTTTTCTCTCCTGAGATAAACACATGCTCTTTCTCCCTTGGGATAAACACTCCATGTTTCTCCGTCGAGACAAACTCTCCTTGTTTCTCTCTTGGTATGACATGACAAGCACAGCCACCTTGCGGCTTCCAAACACATATATATATAGACAGAGCTTTGCTGCCTTTTGTAATAGCCCTTATGCTTTATGATTCACCCTTTAATTTACCTTTAATTCCGAAGCTACTCTGAATGCAAGACTTCTCAGGACTAGCTACCCTCGTCTTCCACCCATAGCATTCAAGTATAGTGTTAAGTAGTAAGTGTACATCGCTTGTGTTAGTTCCCATTACAACGGCAGTACTAACTACTTCGTAGTATAGATTACTTGCCCGCGACACCGCCTCCCGACGTTTTCCTAGTATCAGGCTCTGGCCGGCTTGGTAGTGTCACTCGGTCCCGCATGATCGTGACTCATTTCTCTCTCTACAACCTCAGTCCTCTCCTTGCCCTCCCTTTTCTTCGAAGCTACGCAGCGATCGAAGAATTGATTAGCTATGTGCGACTTGACCTCATCGACAATCGCCGTTTTCCTGTTGTGAGAAGAATACCAGGACAATTGGAAAATTCAGTAGTCAACCAGCCCCCACTGCAGGAAGAAAGAGAAGTACTATGATTACAATACCTCCCCTCCTGATTCGCCGCTGCTCGAGGCTCTTCGTTCTCGCTAGAGTGCAAGGAAATCATTCAGGGGTAAGTAATGCCGCATGAAATCCCTGAACGAACCATGGAAACCGTCGTCCTCCATGAATCCGACCACACAGCGTTGCTGAATCCTAGATCGGAATCGCCAGTAAGCCCATGTAGCGTAGCGCAAACAGCAATTTCGGTTTTTAACTTTTCCGCCGTTCCGTTATCAACTTAGTCGGTGACGAGAGTGTAAGTACAATCGTGCGCGTCGGGTTGCCAGCAGTGAGACTTGATGCTGTTGGGTGTTGCGTAGAGCCCAATCAGGGATGAGGTTACCGATCTAGGCATAGTTAAGTCCCTGGTGCTGGAGTCGAAACTTGTTCTCTTGTAGCAAATCGTTCACCCAATCTCGCAAAATCTCGTTTCGGAAAGCACGGATAAGATTGGCGTGGTCGTTTGCGTTGCGAAGGAGGACGATGTGTGCGTCGACGGGAGGACGAACGAGTGGAGGAGGCAGTCTAAGAGGTACAGGTTGGACAAGGAATCTCATCGAATGGTTTGGATTCCGGATCGCCTGTAAGTGAGAACGGTCGTTAGCAAGGTGATCTGTTAGAAATGGGAGTCAGGCCAGCAGTATGAGACAGGTACTGTCTGCTGTATCGTATCAAGCAGTAATCTTAACATCATCGTTCTTTGTATGAGGTAGATGACTAACAGGAGGTGTAGTAGGCCGCTACACGATAACGAGGTTAACGTTACGAGCGGCCTGTCTGTCATCGTCGGGAGGTTGTTCCACGGCAGAAATAGGAAGTGCAGATTGTGGAAGTGGGAACCTGCCAATGTCGTGTTGGACGGGAGCGAGGAGGCCGACAGGAGGCACGGGCCCGGAGATTTGGTGAGACTGAGGAGATTTGGTGAGTCAATCAGATTCTTGGAAGAACCGATGTCCTGAAGGGAGGCTCAGGATCACTGCCGCTGGGTTCGCAGGCCAATGTGGGTGCAGTCTAGCCATTTCAGGTGTTGGTGATCGTTGTTGATGACTGGAATACCAGCTTCAGATGCCCATTTTGATCCTATCCTTATATCATTTCTCTCTTGTTTGCATGTGGTTCTCCCTCGCCGGCGCGAGGAGGTACCATCATGGGAGATCTCATATGGCGGGATAAGAGGTCTGGCCCTTGTTCCAGCCGAGGTGAGTGTGCGGGATGTAAGTAATCTACATTTTATCCTTTTATCGTTTTGGCTTATTCGACCTTGTTCAGTAATTATGTAGTTTGCCACCAATTGTAGTAGTAGCGGAAAGGATAGTCAAATTGTGAGCACTGGTCCGATTTCCGGAACTGGATTAGTAGGTTTATCACTCTGTTAGTTTTTGCTGAAAATAGCAAGGTGACATGAGATTCTGTATCACTTTGTCATTTTGTAACTTTGTCACTTTGTGCCATTTATGGGCTGTAGTGGCAGAGGTAGGTTAGTAAGTTGCGCCACTATGAATTATGAAACACGCTTTTCCTTCCTAAGTCCTGATCAGCGTCCTTACGATACTGAGTAATCCCTACAGTTTCGACCTATATATTATATTTAGTAAGTTGGCGGTTTACCTGACAGACATCAACAGCGTGAAGAATACTCCTTTCTGACTGATCCCACTTGCAGTCCTCGTACTGTGTTTAGTTAGTATATTATTCCATTTATACTATCCTAAATAGAACGATATGAGGATCTTTACATGGGATCCCTAAAGGA